GAGAGAGAGAGACAGAGAGAGACAGAGAGACAGAGAGAGAGAGTGAGACAGAGGAAGATTATGCTGCCGAGGGTGAACGCACAAAAACAATAGAGCCAGCCCGACGTGGCGTTGGCGCTATCTACTACGCACATGTTACGAAAGCATAGTCGTGGGGCCGAAAGCGAAAAGGTAGACAGCGTTTCCAGCCAGTTCTCGTTGTCAAGACAAGTCGTCGTCTGATAACGGGGCCGAAGGGTACCCAACTCTGCATGAGCGGCGGCGAGGGTAGTATCAAGTGGACAGCCGCGCGGTACTGAGACAACGTAGATCTGGTTTCCAAATTCCCGCACCATCCCGGCAACAAAAATCGGAACAAAAAAGTCGACGGTTTTCGTGGCCAAGCGAACGGCACCTCGTGGGGGCGGCGGACCATACGCTTGACTGTCCGACACAAACACCCGCTCATCGAAACTCGCACGTATCTCCACGCCTATTCGCGCTAAAAGCTGTAGTACTATCCACGTAGCCAGCTCCAACGCCGCCGCACGGGGCGTTCCCACGAACCACCGGCCCGGACAACAGAGTCCCCGCTCCACTTTATAAAAACACACCAGGGGTGACAAAGCCGCCTACTCACTCGAGGGCGACCATAGAGACGAAAGAACGAGGAGAAGCAACAACAGTACGGATAGATGCACTGAGCACGTCGCTGCTCACCGAGCTCCTTCGACAATCATCGAACGGCACTCGCCTACCCGACTCGCCAAGCTCCTCGACGGCATGGCATGGCACTCTGGTACAGAAGCGACCCGCATTAGAACTTGGGAACTAAATAACAAATTCGGTCTCAAAAGATCAGATAGAGTTAAAAACTTGGCCGCGCTCAGCCAAGAAGCTACACCGAGACCTATTTTAATCGCCGTGGGGGTTGTAATCTACCCCATAGACAAAACAAGGAATAAGGAGGCTCGGCAAAAACATAAAAAAACGCCCAAGGGCGTGCGGGCCTTTATTATAGCTGTATCCAACTCACCGAGCTCCTCGACGACGTCGTACGGCACCCCGGCCTCGGCCAGGAGCACGTTCAGCTGCCCGGGCATCCGCCCCGCGACGGGGTGTATGCCGAACCTGACCTTCACCCCCGCTTCGGTGAGCTTCCTCGTAAGCTCCGCCACGGCCTGCTGGGCCCTGGCCACGGCGAGTCCGTAGCCGGGCACGATGATGACGCTCTGGGGGGGGGAGCGGTGCGAGGTGAGGGCGAAGGGTGGGTTTTCGCGCTTGCGGCGGAGAAAAGGGGCGTGGGCACATGCGAGCGGCGCGCGCCAGCGCTTCCGCTGCTCCTGCTGCTGCTGCTGCTGCTCTTACCGGTATCAACATCACTGCGGTGGACAACACAACAAAAATCTAGGGCCACCCGAACTGATCACGAGAGAAGGAAATGTACACACGGAAAAAGAAGAGGGCAACCCTGCACACCCAAGGGAGAACGAAAACGAGGACCCTCTCTACCGACATCATGGCAGTCCCTGAATGTGTGTACCTTGGCCATGAGCATCTTCTGCGCCACGCTCTCTGCCGTGGTCTCCGTGTGCACGCCCGCCGGCCCGGCGTCGCCCCCGGCGGCCGGCGCCTTCTGGACCGTACCAAACCCGCCGGAGATCACGTTGAAGATGTTCCGGTTCATGGCCTGGCACATGATCTGCGTGAGGATCGCACCGCTGGAGCCGATCAGGGCGCCGACGATGGCCAGCAGGTCGTTGTTGAGCATGAAGCCCTCGGCGCAGAGCGCCCACCCGCTGTACGAGTTGAGGAGGGTGATCACCACCGGCATGTCGGCGCCACCTGTTTGCGCAAAAACAAAAATGGGGGGGGGAGGAGAATCGTCAGCAGCGCAAAAACATCCGGGTTTGTGGGGGCCGTCCGGGAAACTCACCAGCTCTTGTTCATGTTTATCTCGGGTGAAGCTCGCCTTGTCCATGCATTGTCCATCCAAGACCATCAAGCGTCACACGGCACAACCAAAGATACACAACATGCGGGCTGCACCATTGCCCCATGACATAAAGAATGAAAAAAACACGCAATCAGATTCTTGACATCCTTTCGCTTGGCGACCGGGGCCGCCTTTTCGCAAAAAAACAGGACCCCTCCCTGCCCCATATCGCGCATGCTCCGTCCTCTCGAGGACGCGAGGTCAACGTTCTAACAACTGAAGCTGCAAACACGCCTGCCCCCAATCCGCGCTTAGTGGTGTGCTAGCCCGGTCCGGTCAACCCGGCATGCTCCGTCCCGGCTTCGTAGGGAAGGTTGAGAGGTCGATGGCGTAACGACAGCATGCACGACTATCAGAACACCCCCGCCTCCCTGTCCGGTCTGGTTTTCAGTTCGCCCCTCACCGATGGAGGCGGTAGCGTGGGCCCCGAGGAGGGCAGCGACGACGGACCCCACTCCGAGAGCCGGGAGCATGCCGGAGACGTCACCGGACGAGGCGAGGGCCACAGCGCCGGCGAGGATGCCGCTGCCCATGGCGATGTTGAGCTGGTCTCGCCCCGGCAGGGAGAGGGGCGAAGAGCTCAAGATGCCCTTCGAGAAAGGAATAAGAAAGCGAAAATGACAACAACAAAAAAAACAATTAGGTACTACATAGATCGCATGTGCCCATCACGGCGAGTCAGCATCTGCCCCGCCACCTACGAAAGGCAGTAACCTACAGTCGTGGCTCCGATATAAGACGGTACCTAAGGCTCCGATATATAAGGGTCGAAATCGGCTGTCACGGATTCGACCCTCTACAGTCTAGTTGGGTACTCTCTTACTCCGGTGTAAGAGGGGGCTCCGATATACGAGGGGTCGAAGGCCTTCGTCACAACACGCTCTTGTATCGGAGACACGACGGCACTGCCATCGGAACGGAGTTGTTGTGCCAAAAGGCAATGCTAACGTTTGCCTGCTGCCATCACGGCTCGACAGGTCTCAAAGGGACTTCGGGAGGGGACCCCTCGGTACGGGACGGTGCTGCGAACGCCGATTTTCTCGCGGGATTAACACGGTTCCGTGCATCTTGGGGGCAGCGACATACTTCCTTCGGTGGCGGTGGTGCTGCGCGGCAATGCGTCGACAGATCTTCATCTCTAGGCCAGTCAATCTTCGCAGAGGAAAAACAATGCTCGCGAGTATCATACTTATCCAACAGCTGGCGTGTTTTGACTCGAAGAGCCCAGCGAACCGCGAGGATTAAGAAAGAAATACAAATCTGTATACAGTGTTTGGTCTTACCTGAAGCTTAGCGAAGGCCGTCACTGACCCCGTAGCGGTTATCGCACCGATCACCGCCGCTAGGTAGATCGTCAGCTTAGCACCCAGCGCCTGGCCAGAAAAAAAAAAACACACACACACACACACACACACACACGCGCGCGCGTGCGCACAGCAACAGCAAGCAGGAGGAGGTGGCGTGGTGAACAGGCGAGCGGGATCTCAACTACTATATGGGGGATCTCAACTACTAAAGATCTACAAGAGTGCCGAACTGATGTACAGCCCAACGACGAGGGGATGCACGCATCGGTCGCGCTCCATGTCCGCCTTCAGTATAACGCACGCTCACTATGAATACTTGGGTTTAACGCACCGTACACTATCTGCTCGGATGAACCAAGAGACGAGGAGTTACCCACGCCGGTTGGCACGCACGCACGCAGAGCAAGAACACAAATCTCTCTTGCCGAAGACCCATAGCCCAGAACCAGCCACCAACTAGTCTCTCTCTCTCTCTCTCTCTCTCTCTCTCTCTCTCTCTCTATCCCCGTCTGTGTGAATATATATATTATCACCTCCGGTGGGTGTCCGACCAACTCCGAGATGGCGGTAGCCGTGGCGGCAGCCCCGACAAGGCTGTGGAAAGCCGCCACCGTCTGGGGGAGCTCCGTAGGTCCAACCTATCACGCAAAAAGGGAGGAAATAGAAAAGACGGGCCAGAGGAGGGTACGCACAGGCAACCGTCGGCCACAGCCACCACGAAGAGACGAGAGTCAAACGTTCAGGCGAAGGGGTGGCCGGGTCAACGACGGAGGGTTCTCACAAAATAGAGGAGGAACGGTTGGGTTAGCCATGGCGAATCCCCAATATGGTCCACCCCGCGACGAACAGAGATCCGGAAACGGGTTTTACCCCAGAAGAACAAACACCAAAAGCTAAAAAAAAATGTGGTCGTATGTAGACGGAACAGAGTGACGTGTTCTTGTGTGTGTAACGCAAGGATTCAAAGTTTGCCATCGTTGCAAATGAAGGTGAGGAAAAGAGCCCCCTCGCCCAAAAAAAAGGCAAGCTTGCTCTCAAAGGGGTGGAGCGGGCGGGCCCGCCGCGTAGAACCAACTGCTGTACACATGCATGGTAGACCTTAGGAGCCCCTTTGCATGCATGCATGCATGCATGCATGCTCCGGCGGCCGGCCGGCGGCCACGAAATAAACGCACCTTCCCCGCGACGGCGTAGCCGGCCACACCTCCCACCCCCATGAGCGCCGCCATCTGCGCGAACACCTCCGGCGGGACCCCGGCGTGATACATGAGCCCGACCGTCGCCGCCAGGCCGAGGGTAACCCCGCCGACCCCGAGAACGTTGCCGAACCTGGCAGTGCTCTGGGAGGAGAGCCCGCCGATGCTCTGCGAGAGACGCGAGCGAGCGAGTATGAAAGCGCGGTGCGTGGGCGTAAGCGACGGCGGCAGATAGACGGCTGTTACCAAAAAAGAGCGTCTACAGTACGCCCTTTTGTCGCTTACACAGCAGTACTTGCTTCTCTGTTTGTAGTCGGCCGGTTAACGCGGTCGGTGCAAACAATACAGACACGTACAACCCAACGATGGAGTGTAGCATGTACAAAAAAGAAAAAAACTCAGCAGCCCACGCAACCTAGCGCCTACGCTCTGATCGGCGGAGGAAACACCACCTCATTAAACGGGACAACCGAGCCCCCCCCACCTACAATACCAAACAAGAGCGAGAGCAGGACAAGAAAAAAAAAGTGCTGGCCCAGCAGCGACTACCCCAACGCCCCCCCCCCCGCCCCCCCTGTTAACCACACCGCACGCGCCCAAACCTGCATGCACATGACCGCCGACGCAAGCCCAGCGAAGTTGGACAGCTCCGAGTAGCCCATAGTCTCTCCGGCCGCAAGAGCGCCCAGCCCCACGGCGACGGGCAGCCCGACGGTGATCTGCACGCAGGCAAGGGCAGGGCAAGGGTAATAGTCGAAAACGGTGGGAGTAGCGGAGAAGAGCAAGCAAGGACGGTACACGTAGCAGCAGCAATCATCAGCAGGGGTATTGGCCAACAGCGATAATACCGCCGTAGCATCAGAAACAACCAACAACGAGGACCAGGGCAGCGCGGAGAAGAACGGACCGCTGGCAGGAGCCTGAGCACGGACGCGAAAGACAAGCTGCGGCATTTTCTCTCTCCTCCATCCCCACGTGGCTACGAGTAAATTCCTGCCCCGTGACCCCCCGGGGCGTTTGGGCCAGCTACAAGTAGAATCAATTCCACAGAGCCTCAGACGAGACACCTTCGAAACCACCGCCACTCCACACCTGGTGGCGCCCGTACCGCAACAATACCGTACCGCGATACTGTACCGCAATTACCGAACCTCGTTGTTCTCCTCGGGGTCCCCTGGTGCCCGTACCGCAAAAATACCACCCCCCCCCGATACACCGCCGTACCGCAACATGCCGTACCGAATTGATACCGTACCGCGATACCGCCAAATGCCATACCTCGTTGTTCTCCTCCGGGTCCCCCGGGCGCTTGAAAAGGTCGAGCATCTTCTTGGTCACGCGGAAACCGCCGACGATGTTGACCGACGACACCAGCAGGGCCGCAGCGCCGAGGGCCTGTCCCGCATTCTCCGGAAAGATCCCTCCTCCGAGAAGGACCATCCCTCCCACGGCCGTCCTGGCGGTAAAAAAGGAAGGCAAGAACGTGCATGCATGTAGAGGACGGGTTAATCCTAACCCTAAGCAAACGCACCGTTACTATTGCGCATATCTACTTGTAAATAGTTTCTTGTCAAGGTCAAGAAGTGTCCGAAACAAATATTACTCCATGATTGACACTTCGGGTATAGTTTTCTTGGGAGGGGGGGGGGCTCGAGGCTCTTACGTATATGCGTCTCATGTACCGAGAAAATATTAACATTTCTCTGAAACTTTGCGACGATTCCCCCACCATCGACACATGTACTGGGCGCGGTGAATTCCAGCGGGCGTTCCATCTGCTCACCATCCCTTGCGACAAAAAGAAAAATACGGTCAGAGATATGTACAGTGTACCCTGCGTGGTGCATCCTTATTCACGCATTTCGAGGACCCAGTTCCTTAAAGGGTGGTACATGTGCATTCTCGGTTCTCTCGTTCTGTTCTCGGTTGGCTTCACAGAAGGGAGGAGAGAAACATCACAAGGAAATCGCCATTTTTGGCACTGAATTCCGGCTTGTCGGCGCCACTCCCTCCCCAAACCTTATCGAAGGAGACAAGTCGTCACTTTCTGCTGCTTGGACATCAGTGGAAACACAACGTAACTCGTGGAACACTGCGGTGAAAGACTTCACTCCAACTTAATCCTGGACTATTTTGTCTGAGGATGAGAGGAGATGGTTTGATTCATTTTCGTTCAAACAAAAATTCAGGAAGAGATTCACTCACATTCCCGAGATGGCGTTGGTCACCGACATGAGGGGCGAGTGGAGGGCCGGGGCGACGCCGTACACCAGCTGGTAGCCTCCCAGGCAGGCCTGCAATCATTGTCATCCATGCGTACGTCCCACACAAGTGGAGGGAGACAGAAGTGAGAACAACATTTCAAGACTGAGCTATCGTTCTGGGCAATATCGGAAACCCTGGGCGCGAGGGGGGTGTGTGTATTCATGTAAATGCATGCCGTGTCGATGGACCATGATCTCGCGGTGGGGGGGGGGGGGTACTCATAGTCGTGCATGCCGTAGTCGTTAGACCATTGACCTCGCATCCCTACAAAGCCGGGACGGAGCACGCCGGGTTCTCACCGGACCAGGCTCTCACATCACCAAGCGCGAAGCGCCGTGAGATATTCGGCGAGTCGCATGAAGGGTGCGCTGCATCCTTCTAAGGGTTTTCGGCATCTTGTGCTTACTTCCTTGCGTACGGATGACAGCTGCGTATGAATTAGTTTGATTTCTGGTGCTTTCACTTCCAGAGGCAGTTGTAAGCACTGTGTAACTGCCTCGAGGGTGCTTGACCATTTTAACACAACGTGGTGCGATCATCCCCCTTGCGCGGAGTGAGGGTTCTCCACCCCGCACAACATGAGGGGGGGGGGATCTGCAGTTGGGGGTCCCCCGACGTGGAGAACCGGAAAGGGGGGCGGGGCGGTCCCGTATATGCAGCAAAGCTGGGGAGTACGCCTCCCAGCCATACTAGAGAGATTCAGGAGCTGTCTGGGACGGAACAGAACCGGCAGACCGACGACTCCCCCCATGTGCTACCTGTACACGGCTACACAACCGTTAAACAGAGGGAACCGGCCGCGCTTGAGGAACTCCGACCCCTTCGATGGAACTTTCGTACAACAACAACAACAACAGCAACGACCACGCAGGAAATACGAAACACGGCTCATGCTGGACTGCTTACACGTGCAACGTTCTGCCGGAACAACGCCATGCTCTTCGAACATATTTACACCACGTCTTGGACAATGCTGCTGTACACCTTAAACACTCGCGACCATGCAAGACTTGCTCTCCCGCCTCCTTGACACAACGCTTTGCAAACTCCTTGCTACATACATAAGACTGCTCTCTCACCAAGAAAAAAATCTTTCACAACGTATTGGCATGAGGCACTCTCGTATGTACCCTGCAGTGTATCACCCGCGAGAGAACCAAACCACATCTGGCACACCCCTCTCACCAGCGTGAGGATAGTGAGCATCTCCGTGAAGTCGTGGCTGCCCTGGCTCGATACCCCCAGCGCAACGAACGCCAGGGCTCCGAGCGCGGCCTTAGCGCCGTCAACCAGCGCCGCCGCCTGAGGGTCCACCGGCTCGGCCTCCGCCGCCGCCGCCACAGCCGCCACCTGCATGCAGCAGTTGGCGCCGGATTCGCGATTGGCAAATAAACCTTTCGAGAAATAAGTGAGGCTCAACTTTCAACAATAAAATGAAAATATGTAGGGTCAAGACACAGAGCCCATCCGTGGATCCTACACCCGCCGCCGCCGCCACAGCCGCCACCTGCATACAGCAGTTGGCGCCGGTTTCGCGATTGAGAAACAAACCTTCCTTACGAAATAAAATGAGGCCCCACTTATCAGAAGTTATGCAGGGTCAAGACAAAGACCCCACCCGTGGATCCCACCCTCGCGACCTATATGCTTGACGGTGGAGACGAACTAAGGAATTGAGCCTCGACCCTCCAAATTGACGATTCTTTAAACGCGGGCGCTAACTGTGCTCGTATGTACCAAACACCATCACGCGAAGGGTGAAGGGGGTGCAGAACAGAGGTTGTGACGCTGGCTCTTTTTCCCAACTTTGATCCTATACAAAGAAAGAAAACGACCTTCTCGCTAGGCTTAGGTGTCGCATGATGTTGTCATCAGGAGCGGACATCATGAAGATGTGTTGTGTGTGCTGGTAAGTTCAGGTTTGCTGCTGGAGCTGAAATGTCGAAGGTCGCAGCAGCCTCTGAAAACTGTTCGACATCTGCGCCGGAACCAAGCAGCATCCAACATTTTGTCACAGCCGTGCTCACCGCCACGGACAGTAACCCCTGAACCACGGGTCGTTAGCAGTAGCTAGTGGCATCAGCTACTGCTGTAAACCCGCAGTTGAGTGGATTGGAGTCAGTGGCGGCGAGCACGACCGGGACAAATGTTGGATGCCGCTTGGTTCCGGCGCAGATTTTCGGACTGTTTGCTGATTTCAGAGGCTGCTGCGACCTTCGATATTTCAGGTCCAGTAGCAAACCTGAACGCGCCAGCACGCACGGCGCATCTTCATGATGTCCTCTACTGATGACAATAGAATGCGACACCCAACACTCACAACTGACCTTGTTTGAGCGCCTTCCGTTTTGGATCTTGTGACTCGAATTTAGAAAGGTGTGAATTTGCTATCTTGATTCAAAGGAAGCGTGTGGAGGTACTGTAGACGCGTGAAATGTGTGTTTTGAGCAGTCCCTGACGCCGTCCTGTGCGAGAATCAACGATTTCTGTTTTTCACGCTGCCTTCCTCCTGGTCTGGTGTGTCTGTTGTGCAATTTCTAGTGCTCTTGCATTTCATTTCAAAATAAGTCAACATCAAAATTCGTATTCTGCATCCCCTTAAACGCCGGGATTCGCGACCGTGTATGGCGTGCATGATCGTACGACGCGGGTGCTCCGTCATAGACTCTCGCATTCCACTCCCATGCCAGGGTGGGGAGAGCAAGGGTTTCGATCCACAGACAGGCGGTTTGGGGGAGGGCGAAGGAGAGAGGGGGCAGGTGTGGCTATTTCTCATGCGCTTATCCGATACTGCGATTTTTCGTTGGAATGAGCGAGACTTGGTACGTCGAAGGGTGAAGATGGGGCGCAACGGTTCAAAGAACCCGTAAGAAAGACCGCCAGAGAACGCCTCTAAAAGGAACACATGAACAGGGGGAAGGTGCAGTGAGGTGGGACGGTTCCAGAGAAGAGGGACGCATCCGCAACCAGGAGGTCTTTGACGACGTGAAAAATATACCAAACACATAGTACTGGTGAGCGACTTGCGCTGTGTACGACCCACGAAACTCCTCGCAGCGGTACGGCGTGTGTGTTTTGTGTGTGTGTTTGTCAATATGGATAGCATCGACCGCGCTAAGCGTGGTTTGTATTTGTTCGTGCCTGTGAACGTGGTCGTCAAGTTCCCCCGATCGCCGTGAAAGACTGCTTTAGGCTGGCAACCGTACACAGTCAGTACCAATGTAGCCTTGTTCGGAGAGTAAGTCTCCTCACCTCTTCCTTCTTCTTTGCGGCAGCTGCCTCCGCGGCGGACGGTGCCGGCGGCGCGGGCGGCGGCGGGGCCACCGGTGCCGGCCACATGAGCTGGACACGGACCGAACAACACAATGAAGCGAGCGTGGAACAGAGATAATTGATAACGATTAACAAAAATCATTGCTATTACGGTACATATCGCGTTCAAGTGTTCAGAATGGTACGGACAGAGGGAGGTACTGCATAGAGAAATCGGAAGGATTTGCTAGACACGACAACAATCCAAACTACGCGACGGATTTCCTGCGCTGCCCGGAGCCCGTTGACGAGAAACGCGTGTTCGCGTCTTCATTTCTCACTTGAAGGCTCAAGTCCTGTCGTGTTGGTCGCCGGGGTTACAGCGCGGTCGATGCGACACAAGGACACACATACACACAAGCCACAGCCTCCTCCGCCCCTCCTCTCTCGCAAGAACCTCCCTCCGCGTGCAACAAAACGCCTCCTCTCGTCACCGCTGAACCCCTCCTCGGCCGCAACGTCATCTATTCTTGTCACCGCTGAGCCCCCACACTCTCGCTCCCCCCTCCCAACGCTGTGCAAACCCACCTTGCCCTCCTCCACGACGAGCATGCCCCGCGACACGGGGTCCTCGTGATCGATGTACCAGTACCCCTTATCCTTGGTCGTCTGGGGCCCGGTGGCTGACACGTGGGGGGGCGGGGGGGCACGCGGCCATGGAGAAGCCATCCGCGGTAACGTCATTACGTTGTTGGAGTGGGGGGAGTGAATGACTCGAACGAAACAAACCGTGGTTTGGGGGAGCGCAAGAGCGGGCTGAGGCAGAAGAAGCAACAACAGAGCATGACACCAAACCCAACACGACCATCTCACGCGGCACTTTGTGCCATGCCACATGCATATCTGCTTCTTACGCCAAGCAATTTTTTCGTGTGCGTCATACACAAGGAGCAGCAGCAGCAGCAGCAGCAGCAGCAGCAGCAGAGCACCACACCAAAAACGCGACGAGGCCACTCACGGCATGAATGCAAGCATACATGCCAAGTAAGGCAAGGTATTTCGTGGGTGCCACGCACCAAGAATGAGCTTGGCGATGTTGTTGGCGTACAGCTGGGACGACGTCTGCGGGAGGCGCGATGGCAGGTCTGTGTACCCGACACAAGTCACCCTATTCAATTTTTTTTCGCCGTCCATCCAAGTCCGCCCCGCCCACGCACGATAAGCAAGGGGTGTGGCGAAGAGACAACACAGGACGAGCCGCGGAGAGGTGAGCAATGATTACTATAGTACGGAAGAAGGCTTAGGGCTTGGCGTCGACGACGGGAAAAAAATTGCAATCAATCAAACTCGCTTGTTCCATCTACAACTACAAACTTTAGCGCATTCGTTTGCGCAGTGGTTCATGCTGGAACGTCAGCTACAGTTCTGAATGAAAGAGAAACTTGAACTAGCGCACGGCCCATTTTGCGGTGGTCGTTCCCACAACGCCTGCCCCTCCGGCTGGCCCACAGATGGCTCGTAAGTGTTTCGTCTATATTCCCGCCCCTTCTGTTCCCATTCCCTGCATCTGTTCTCCGCTCTCCCTCCCTCCCTCCCTCCCTCCCTCCTTCCCTCTTTCTGTCTCTCTGTCTCTCTCTCTCCCACCTAGCTCTCTCTCGCGCGCTCTGCTTCTTCATCCTTACCCGTTCTCGGTGACGATGACTTGGTCCTTGACCGTGGTGCCGATGTTACCTCCGTTCGCCGCCGCCAGGTCCACCGTCACCGAACCGGGCTTCATGCCGGCTACCATTTCGGACGTCACGAGCTTCGGAGCCTACGTATCATGTCATTTACATGATAGCGGTTGAAAAAACGATTCATGAATGGACCAGAGCAGTACCATTGGCCTTGTGAATTTATCATGCCATTTTCAGTGCAATAACACGGCTGTTGCACGTTTTTATGTACCAGACGTCATTGTCAAATGCAGAAATTAGAAGTAGTAGGTACAACCTTGTGTTGTAGATATTGTACCAGAGTGGAATCGTACCAACGGCCACGAAGGCCCTCAGCTGTTGGTCTTCCGTGTACTGTGCAGTAATAATATACAGCAGTACATGATATATAGCTGTGCTTGGTGCCAAGACTGAGGTCGGGGTCCGGAAGGAGAAAGAACCCCCTGTGGCGCGGGGGGGTCCCGAACCAATACGCGGGAGGCTTGTTGGTTGTACATGTGGCAAGGGTGATGAATTGAAGGCGACAGGAACGAAACAACGAACTAAAATGTTCGTTACATTCAAAAGAAGTCCCCTTGAAAAAACTGCTGGTGTGTTTTCCACCGTGGGGCCGCAGGCCCAGCAAAGACCACAACATGTTCCCGCCCCAAAGTATGCTGGAGCCGCATACGTGTGGGCATAAAATCCGAAGCGGTTTCTGACATCTACATCTACTCAAACCATGGTCCCTTACAGCTGGCTGTTCATAACAAATTCCAAGCCTGAGTGTGTACCAAGGCATCTTCTTGAAATCTTCAACGGCAAAGGGGAGAGCAGCACCAGATATGGAGGGG